ACACCTATTGGGCCAGAATACAGAGCTAGGATTTTTCCTTCCGCATCTCTAAACACACCCCCTATTACAGAAGGTCCAGGGTTCCTAATAGAGCTGCCATCAAAGTTCAGTCTGACATGACACTGCAAAGGAGGGGACCAAACTTCTTGTATGGTAGGTGATGAAGTAGAAGATCTTGCTAAAATATTCCAGCCTCTAATCAAATCGTCTGTAGAGACATCCTTGAACAATTCAAGAGTTTTCATCCAATGTACTGCCTTGATGGTGATCCCTTCAATAACTTCAGGAGCTGATTTTTCTTTCCCTTGGAAAATCCTATTGTTTCTCTCTTCCATACTGCCCACAAGATAGCTGCCCTCATTGTTCTCCACATCACCCTTCCTTTCTTCTTTGGTTGTCGGAAAAAGCTAGGGTCAAATAAATCCGCTACACTTGTGGGAGGATTCCACCTCACCATTCCTCAAACAAAGGCAACAGACATGAGGTGACAAGCACCAATTTGGTCTCTTTCTTTGAAGCACCTCCAAGGTATTGATTTTTTGGAGAAACGCTTCCCAACAAAAAGCCCTTACTTCTGGGGGGGCAGGAGCACTCCAAACTTCTTTAACAGTAAAAGAGGAAACTGGGTTAGAAGGAAGGACCAAAACATTTATTTAATTATTTGTTTCACTTGACTCTTGTATTGTTTTTCACTTCAAGCTCAAGCTTATACATTTACAGTTGTGGTTGTTAATCATCATCATCTTCTTCTAACGTGTAGTCCATATTGATTCAGTCCTTGGACGACGACATAGCAGCAGCTTGGCTGACCCTGTTCTTACTGACCTTTTTCTAATTTGGAAAACCAAAGACTGCTATGCTGCCTTTGAAGTCCAAACCACAAAACCTGTGGCTACAGGTATGAGCCTTGGCTGCTAAATGCTAGCTGTTAACTTCTTTTTGCTCTGTTTTTTAACAAATAAAGTAATAAACAATTTTTTTGGGAAAAAGGTAAAGTAATTTATTCATAGAGAATGAAGATTACAACAACAAGGCCAGGCCACTAGATCTACCCGGACCCAAAACACATTACAAGAACATCCATGATTTAGTACAAAGAGAGATACATTCTGATTTTTAAACTCCTCATTCACCGACACCCAGGAGCAAATCTTCCCCACCACTTTCTGCACAATCTCTTCTGGACTTTTAGGTTGATTGCAGAAAACTCTATTGTTTCTTTCAGTCTAAATGGACCAAAGAACAGCCTGCGGAA